GAATTATACACCAACAACTTTGGGGGTACAAAGTTTAAGAGAAATTATATCTGGGGTTACGCGAACACTGACGAATAAATGCATGCTTGTGTTAAAGCCACGATAATTAAAGTTTGTCAAACATGGCGGCAAGGTTGCCCTTAAGGGTGGAAATAGTACCGCCTTTTTTCATTCTGCCCTTGAAGGGACGAATGTGTGTGTCTGTATGGAGGGGGGGGGGGGTCTTCAACGCAACACCCAATATTTTTAAGAGACCAGGGGGTTGGGGGAAGAACAAAGTCTTGAAGTGCTCCCTAAAGGTCAATTTCTCTCTCTTAACTGCTTTATATAAGTCAAGACAAGAACGCAAAAGTTGCCTTGCTTCTGTTTCGTCACCCCTCTCTCCCCCCCTCTTTCGTTTCGTATTTGTTGCTTTGCTTGTGATTTTCACATTAGTTCCGATTGGTGCCTGTAGAGAGTGTTATGAAAATTAGACATTTAGTTTGTGGTTAATAGACCAGTGTTCAAGTTTGTTTGCTAAATATCTGTTGTACTGTGATTTGAGAAATCAATCATACAGTGTTCAGTTGGCAGTAAATTTAAAAAAAAAACAATTGATTGTTTTAAGATACTTACAACTTATGCGTATCTGAAGATATCGAGAGGCATTAAACAATCGAATGTTGTAGAAAATGGCTTTGAACATCTGAACTCATTAAACTGGCCCAGGTGGGAGCTGTTATGCCTACGGAGATGTGAATTTTAGAATTTTTTAAAACTGGGAATCTTTATTTTTTAGAGATCATTCGATTAATAGTAAGTCGGAAGAAGAAACAGCTGTTTGTTCTGTAACTCAGACGAGATACGTAATAACAAATTGTGTTAATTTCTGAGTCAACGAACGTTAAAACAAGTGATAAATAGGATTAAATTTTTCGTACATTGAGAATGATCGTTGCAAAGAGAATTCAAAACCGCTTTCTGAACAGAGTCGGTGATACATTTGTGAAACATTGTATAGATATCCCATTTATTTAATTTATATATGTATAGGATTATTTTTATATTTAATTTTCAGTGCCGACAAAAGTCTCGTCCCGTCAAGGAGCCGATAGGAGGAACCGGCCGTCTACACCTGTTTCATCGTCTACTGGGTAAGTAGCAGCTGAGTTTAAGATCGAGTGATCGCATTTTGGAGGAAGTATTTCCTAAAATTCGACTAAAGGGTTAAAATATACACGATCGCCAGTGGAGTTGTCTGTTTCTCAATGCTTTTCTTTAGACAAGTGGACAATAATAAATCTTCCCCTGATATTTGTGCGTAATTTAAGAGGGGTTTAAGTGAGATTTGGTATTTTCGCTGCGTTTACAGTGTAGATTGAAGCCTTGTGGTTTGTGATAATGTGTCAGACCGGAATACAGCAATATCAATGATGATCTTGTTGATCGAGCGATTCTTTGCTATTAGGGACGCGATTTCAGCCGAGTAGCTCATATGCTACAACGATTTTCTAAATCTTTGTGGCATTGGTTACACAGTGTGAATAAAAACACACTCTCTGATTCCGGATATGTTTCCTGTCGAAAACACTTCTTTTGCCCAAAAATTTTATCACAATTCTGTCTGTTGTCTTATTCGGTACGTCCTTGTAAGGACACGCATCGATAAATGATTCACGAACAGAAACAGAAGATTTCGATACGAAGTAATTTTCGAGAATGGACATAAATACACAATGCTCGCATCTAGAAATCGTTTGCGCAGCTTGCGTGAGTAGCGGCCTAGCAACCAAGGTGACCTTGACTCTAGTGTCACGGGGGAGGATGGGAGAGTCTGTTACACGTGGGTGAACCTGCTTCTGCAGTGGACAGTGCTTAACACTTTACTCATTTGAGGTTATACAGAGTTGAATGGTGGTTAATGGCTGTTAATAAGTCAGAATCGATTCGTGTACATTTTAAGTCAGTGCCCTAACTTTTAGCCGAAGAACGTGTGGGATAAATTGGATAGCCGGTCGCCGTGCCGATATTCGAACACGGGACACCACACCGTGACGTACGGATGAGATGGCTGATTCTTGTTGCGTGCATGAATGACATAAGAATTGCGTGCACAATTTTTGGTTGGAAAATCTCGGGTAATGGACGACTTGTGGTAACCGAGTCTTAATCTTAGATATATTTGGTTTCTGTTTGCGAAAACTGCCTCGAGACAGCGTTCAGTGGCAGGATTTGTTGATAAAGGCGATGAACTTTTCGATTACCATTACAACAAAGAGTTTTTTTGAGGGATAATTATCAACTGTTCTACTAAATACTTGTATCAGGAAGTGTGTTAGCTTGATAATTAGTTTATTGCGAATTGTTAGACGTAATTAAGGATATTACACCGTAAAACATCGATCTTGGGACTTCTCAGACATGACACATTCACTGTGCCGCTTGGCCTGACATCGAAACCTCCTCATTTGTTGAATAGCCGCTCATTCGCTCTCCGGTCCGTGACGATCTCACGACCGCTGATTAGAATAATTCAGTTGGTAGGCCTGCTTCGTCCTGCTAATTACGAAATGTCACTCCGATTCAGAAAGATTTTAGTTTTTTTATTTTGCTTCGATGGTTAACGTTCTCAATTATGAACGGATTACAGTCTAATTTTAAACTCTGGTAAGTAAAGCGATTGAGTTGCAGTGAAATGGAATGTTTGATTCAAATTGAAGTGTGCACTGAAACACGTAATATGGAAATCATACAACTATTCAGCACCGTACCATGGATAACGAGTTTGTATTCGGCTAATCATAACGACAGAAAATTATCAGACTCTTTAATATCTCCCGCTAACTATTCCCTGACTGAATATTTCTGTGTTCTGGTTAGTACTGTGTATATGGGAGGACCACAGTTCTAATCTGGACCCGGAGACGAGAAATCGTAGCTTTGTATGTATTTTCTCAGTCTTCCGGGCAAGTGTTGAGTTTTGTGTGTGTGTGTGTGTTCTGTCTGACGACAGGTCCATATGAACAGGATCCTTCCATCCTTTTCTCGGACTGGGACCTGTTCATATACGTTCTTGGCAGATGATCCAGAAGTGGTTTGCCACTGCCTTCTTCTGTGTGTGAATGGAGAAACCGGGGAAGCCCCCGGAGGAAAACCCCGTGTTGCCTAGACCACGATCTTGCCCAACACAAGTTATAAATTCCAACCCGAGACCCCAGGATTACAAGGCCAGCGTTCTAACCGCTAGACCACCGGGTGAATGGAGTAATTGTTGGGATGCCACGGAGGAAAACTCCGTGTTGCCTAGACCACGGCCTTGCCCATATTAAAAAGAAGTATACAGCCTTTGTCTTTCGCATCCATGTCAATTTGTGTTTCATAAATTCAGTTAAATTCATAACTCACTCCGTGGAGCAAAGTTCTGTTTGAGAAGCTAATAGGCTTATGCCACTCATCCAATCAAGAAATTCGTCTTGTGAAACACGCCACTGGTCCTTGTCCTGAGCCAGATGAATCTAGTCTACACTGCCACACCCTGTTTCCTTAAGATCCGTTTTAGTATTATTCTCCTATCTACGTCTAGGTCTTCCAAAGATTTGGCGTCGATAATATCGAAGGTCGCGATGTAGTGGTTAGCATTCCTTCGTATTCAGAAGTTCCCGGGTTTAAATCTCAACTCAGAGACCCGTTTGACTGAGTCTTTCCAAACAAACATAGGTTTAGTACCTTAAAATAGGCCACGTTCTTTCCAATTCATCATTCACAAATCCTACTTTTCAGTGCTTCAGAGCAGGGGTCTGTAACATTTTCATTATCGCTGACCGCATTAGTTATTTATACATTTGTCGAGGGCCACGGAAAAGAATGTATGTCGTGGATAGTAAGAGAAACTTTGTTTCTTTAACTTAAAAAAGAATGTAGCCAATATTCGCTTGAGAACGAAAAAAAAACTGTATTTCAAATCTAAAACTTCTTGACGATGGTGATGAGTCATTAGAATAAAAATTTTCTTGGATATTATCTATCGTCTAGTAAATATAAAACGTAAAACGACGTTTCGGAGATGGGACTCTATCTTCGTCTTCAGGTTCCTACACAGTTGGGCCCACTAGATAGAGCTAACCAAACTTGTTCCTTGAGATGAAACTCCGCATTACAGTTTTCGACATTAGCGTGAGATCAGTGGTCATCTCCGCGTTGCGACACCTGTATCTGCGTCGGAAAGAGTCCTTTGTATCCACTGGATGGTTAGGTTAGGCTAGGAGGAACCCAGAAGTTGTCTAGACGCGGTGAAGGGGAGAGAGGGTGTACGTCGCCGGGACTCGAACCATGGCCGTGCGATCTGCAGCCAGTCAGTCAGTCACCTTACTGACTAAGCTATCAGAGTGACGCAGTGGGGGTTATAGGTCCTTATACTCAGAGGGTGCAGTCTGCAATGCGATGACTTCGAGGCTTTGTGCTCTACCACGCGTGAGATGAGAGTTTTACTCCACTTTTTAGTGCGGTCTTGATCCTAGCGGGAGTAGATACCCCCCACTTCGCTTCGTAAAGCATTTTCATTGAAGGACCTTTGTTCCTTCGAACCCCTAAAACATTCGTTACAAAGTGAAAATGAAGGAAATAAGGATATGCTCTTTAGTCGTCAGTTCTGAGACAACCATGTTTCATACCCGTAAAATTAAAGGACCAATTAAAGTAAAGGGCAAACTTGTTCCTTGAGATGAAACTCTGCATTACAGTTTTCGACACTAGCGTGAGATCAGTGGTCATCTCCGCGTTGCGACACCTGTATCTGCGTCGGAAAGAGTCCTTTGTATCCACTGGATGGTTAGGTTAGGCTAGGAGGAACCCAGAAGTTGTCTAGACGCGGTGAAGGGGAGAGGGTCTACGTCGCCGGGACTCAAACCATGGCCGTGCGACCTGCAGCCAGCCAGTCATTCAGTCACCTTACTGACTAAGCTCAGAGTGACGCAGTGGGGGTTATAGGTCCTTATACTCAGAGGGTGCAGTCTGCAATGCGATGACTTCGAGGCTTTGTGCTCTACCACGCGTGAGATGAGAGTTTTACTCCACTTTTTAGTGCGGTCTTGATCCTAGCGGGAGTAGATACCCCTTTAAAAACCGCAGAATGAACTAGGCTGTCTCTTTTTGTAGGTGAGGAGAACATGATTCAACAAATCATTAAGCCTCCATCAACCACTGCTGAGTTTAATTGAAGTCAGAGAGGCCTCGTTGTCTTTATGAAGCCACTGTATTCCGTACTACTCCTGCACCTCTGAAACGTTGGTTAACATCGACCAGACTACACAGCGCAACAACCCAGAAGACAGAAATCTTCATACTCACCGCTGTGAGAACCTCAAGTCTTACATTACATTACCTTGTTTTCCTATTTTATGAATGGGACTTAATATGGTGTAGGAGAAATCTGTGGTCTAACTTTAAATACGTGTTGAATTCTCTTCAGCGTTCTGTGTACAGACTTCAGTCGGTTTATTTCTTTACTAGTAGATTATGTCAGGTTCTCACTCAGCTTAAAGTTCGATCTAACTTCTTTTTTCTCAAATATAGCCTGTCGTACGTTTTCAAATTCAGAGTACGCTGATTTTCCAACTTCGTTCCTTGCGACAATTTATTGGTCTTTTATTTGAAGAATTTTTAATGTTGTTTATGTATAACTACGAAAAATGAGATGTTATTTGTGGCTACTGAGTGTTTGTATAATATAATTAGCTATGCATCATTGGATTTGTGTTTCCTTGGATATCAAGGCCAGTGACGTATTCAAAATCTCAAAGTAGACATCGTATTTTAAATGTGCGTAGGCCTTTGCGTATTTACACTTTTTTAATACATTTAAGTTGGCAGTTCTTTGTGCTCATTTTCTTTCTTTGTAGTTGAAGAAAAATGTTTTATTCTCATATTTAACCACTTCAAATTCTTCTGTGTATCGCTTAGCACAAAATCCTTTTGTGCTGTTTGTATGTATTCGAACATTTTTTTAAAGTTTGCAGCGAAATGTAAGAAGTTTGCGTTCTTCATAGTTTTGTATTGGACTTGGATGAAATAATTCTTTCCGTTCTGTTTCCATTTAAACCGCGTTCTGATTAGGCCTATGCATTGTGTTTAAACAGGCCTAGAAACTTCACGGTTA